CTATTACTCGCTCCTTATTTCGAAAATACTGAACAAGTTCTTTTTTTGTTTGATTAATTGAATGCTTATTTCTCTTTATAGATACATAAATACGTGCTGCATGACCATGCTTGCAAAAATCACGAAATGATCCATGCCAAATAAAGTCAAGACAGGTACATTCGCCTGTAATATAATTAACTAAATAATAATTAGGGAGCATTGGAACCATATGCTTTGCTGCAAGCTTTGTAATCATCTTAGAAATCCCTTGAGCCTCACTATCTCCAAATTTAATTTTATCTGTTGTATATGGAGATCGAAAATTATTTTGCTTTTGATTATTCATGCGCACATATAAAAAGTTTGGATTGTCTGGAACTTCAAGAATATCATCTTGTAATACTTTTAATTTTCCCTGATTAATACGGCGTGTTATATCAGGTTGTGATCTAGATAGTCCATTTTGGTGCTCAATAGTGCGTGAGTTCCAGTAAGTAACAAGCCCTGCATTAAAGATCAACTGACCACAATTTTCAGTAAGGTTTGAGCAAGCAATCTTGGTACCATAAAGACGTTCAATAAAGGTCAATACTGTTTGAGTGCCTGAATATCTTTCCTCAATAGTTTTATTCATTCTTTCAGTAAAATTATTAGTAGTCCAAGGTTTTACATTAGGCTCATCTTCCTTATTAGGTAAACGTCCACCATCAATAAAACTAAGGATCCACTCTTGACTAAGCCAATTGTCTTCAAGATCATTTATAAAAAATGCTTTTGCATTAACAGAAATTGGAAGTAAATTAATAAAATTTTTATATTCAATTGCCATTTCTCTAGCTTCGGTTATACTTCTACATCTACCAATAATCTTGAATGCAAGTGCTATCGGATATCTGTATAATATAAAAGTAAATAAATAAAATAAGTAATATATTTAAAATATCATTAATATAGTATCTTATACTAATATCGGTTTATATTAAAATTAAGATCTTTATTTAATCTTAAATTTTATTAAAATTCTAAAAATTCTAATTCTAATTTTAAAAAATGTATTTAAAAATTTTATTTTAAGTATATTTAAATTTCTATATAAGCCAATTTTAGTATAAGATGCCACAATTAATATAATAAATATATATAGCATATACTAAAAGTATCATCCAATCCAATTATTATATTTAGAATTGGATCAAATAATACCTTTTACAAATACATTACCTTAAGCTCCAGTCAATTTTTTGTGTACGAAAATGATTTCTAAAAGTTTGCATTATATGGAACCAACAAAGTATTGTACCACGAATAATAGGCTTTAATGCAGCTTTGGTTGGCCGATGTTTGTCTATCATTGCAAAAGGTTTCCACTCAATTGCGCATGGTCGTATACGTTTAAACCCCTTATTATTAGGTAATGTAACATATTCATATGGATGTTTACAATTTATATTTTTACAAGGTATATTGGCCTTTATTGCTTCAACTGCAAGCCTTATTGTATGCATATTTTCTTTGTTAGACAGTGCAAATCCTATAGGCGTACCCCAATTTCCACAATCTTCTACCACAAGACTATGAATAGGTGCTCGGTTATTATTAAGATCATACTTTGCATCAATGCCAAAACAAAATGAACCATAATTTCGAGCTTGTTCAA